CGCGGGCGGTCGCCGCCACGTTCTCGGCGATGTCAATTTTACATTACAGGGCTACCCGCGGCAATGCAAATGCGATTGATAATTAATTAGATTAGAAGTCATTAATCCGCGTATCCGTCCGTACGTTCCGACCGGAACCACAAGGCCAATATGACGACGCGAGAACGGCCGGCCGGTGGTCGGCGTCAATCACGTTACATTTGTAATTGTTCCGCGATATCGGTCAAATTGCGGCCGAAATGCGTCGACAGGCGCATGCATGTGTATATATGAACACCCCCGCGCGACGCGGATTGAAATCAAACTAATTGCGCGGCTGCTGCTGTGGCATGCTCGTAATCGCCAATAAAATCGAACACTTGGCGAACTTGGCGTGCTTGTCCTCTCTCTCTCATCCCATAGAAATCTTCGCAGGCTTAATCACGACTGTTGCGAGCGTGGCGAATAGACGCGCTCCGGACTGTTTCGATTGAATTAATTACTTGTAAGGTCTCGATAATTACCACGGAGAATGAAGCAGAGAGAAATCTCAAAAAGAACTACAGCTCTCTCTCTATTTGTTGCAACAACGCGACGCGATTTAATAATAATAGTAATCATCATAGGTTTTAATGATTGTTTTTAATTTTCTTTCCCCATTCAAGGTTTCGAGTGGATCACACGATAACTTTTAATTTTCAGGTTGTGCATATCATTACGTTGCGAAGCTTCGCGAAACACGACAAAGTAGGTAAACTGAACCTGAGCAAAGTAAAACTGGAGCTAAACTAAACTGAGCTAGATTAAAATTAGCTCGAGAACAAGTCCTGCTTCTGTTAGATTCGCAGCCGGCTCAGTTGAAATTGGAAAGCCGTTCTGTAATTATCCAGACGCAAATTGACAAATGTTCGAGTATGGCAGACTATCTACACACAGATTAGACAGATATCTTAGCCGGTTACTATCAACTCGCATCGGACGAATTTACGACGACGATGTTTATCGTTGCGTTAGACAAACGCAATTCGTTTGGCGACTAACTGCGCTGCTTAAATATGCTCGGGCACGAGCCGAGACAATAGAAGGGGAGAGAATGTGTGTGTGTGAGAGAAATAATACAGGCGAGGTAAGAGCATATAAGGAAGAATTGTCCCCCGACGCGCTCTGTCGTAAGGCGAAACAGCGGCATTTTGTTCGAATGTCATCGAGTTAACGACCGGAGCGGTATTATGCAAAGTGGAGAGCGAGCACGTCGACGGCAGCGGCGCGATGCATTCTCGAGACGGTCCTTCTCCCTCCGCCATCTTAGTGCGCATCTCGCGCGCGCCTTTCGCTTATCTCGCGCCCCTGATAAATCCACATTTTTTTATAACCCTTCCCTCCGTTCTCTAACCTCTCCTACTCTCTCTTCTCTCTCCTTTGCTTCTTTATTTTGATAAAAATGATACATCCCCATACTTACCCTACCCGCGAGCGCGTCGAGTCACAAACATCCCTCTTATAGTGACGATATTTATGCTTCTACGTCACGAGAGAAATATCACGCAATGAAAATCTCGCGAATCCCCCGACAGTCTACATGTGTATAAAAACACCGTGTACACTAAACGTCATTAATGTTTGATGGTTTGTTAGTTTCAAGATCGTCGGCAATTTTGTTTTGCAAATCGTATACCTGTGTGTATAACAAAGTCAGATATTTCTACTTCTTTTCATATTTCAGGGGCTAACAATTACGTCACACGACACTTGGGTATTTTTTATTTCCTCCCTTTCCTTTCGGCACATTTCGTCACAAAATATTTGGCCCTCTTCCAATATTATATGATACGTGGAATTACACCCCCCTCCATCCTGCCGACACATAGAATAAGAAAGAATAGCTTATAACTATATTGTGGGTAATAATTATTAGACTGCACATTACTAACTCTTTCTAAAATACAAATCATTTTTAGACGTAATATCAAATTAATTACTTTATTTTATAATTTAGATCACAGTAAAAGTTGTGATTTTAAAAGATTAAATTTAAAAAGTTAACAGTTTGATTAACACAAAACCATGTGAAAATTTAAAAATTCTCACTAAATATAATCAAATGTGTCACAAACAAACAAAGTAAATAACCACGCATATCCATATTTGCAAGTTATTTAATATGACGTTCTATAGTCTTTATTCTCCTCCCTTAACCCTACCATCATAAACTGTCATGCAAGCTAATACATCTCCCTCTCGTGGAGTGACGTAATTGTTGAATGGTCCCTTGCAAATGTCATTCTTTCCGAATAATATTCGCTTGTCGTTTACTGAAATAATCAGTACTAATTATGCACAAATATCCAGGAAGGAGTATATACGAGTAGTTGAAAATTTGTGACCCCGAATATCTGCCAAGTGGCATCAATGACGTTTAGTGTACCGACCGAACGTATGCGGGCTGAATAGCAGAGCGTGTTTTTGCTTGTGCGTTAATTAAACTCCAACTTAAGCAACCGACTGCGCACAGGCCAGACGTAATTTTCCAGCGCTACGCGTGATCCTCACTCTCTTTGATGCACCACGACAAGCCTTCAACCCTCGTCGTAATCTTCGTGATAATCATGTATCGCGGCCATCGATATCGCGAATTCAGATACTTCATATATCGCCGTGTCTTTCTGTATTTAACATCATTTTATTGGGTCATATCGGATGTGTTAATATCGTAACGGATATTTAAACTTTGATTATTTGCAATATCCGATATAACAAACCACATATATATATAAATGTGTCTGTGCGATGCATGTCTGCAATATATCATTTTATCTTGAGAATCTGATGGCCATGTTAATGCTAAATGCACACTCAAATACGGATCGATCAATTTTAATCGGGGATTAATAGTGTACCAGGCCTTTCCAATATCGCTGGCTTTAACAGTTTCATTGGGAGCTCTCGGTATAATAAACCTGGAACGATGTAACGAAGATAGAGTTTTTGCTACTTCAAAAATAAATAAAGATCTACATCCTATTTTAAACACCGCGAATGTGTAACATTCAATACGATAGTTAAGAATTTTGCTCACCGAAACGAAATAATTATTCTCGTCATTATTCATAATCAATTTTACGAATAGGAACGCGGAACACACGCAAATAACGCGCGTTTTTTTGCGCTCCTTTTTTTACAACGTACACCAACGGCGTCATGCATCTAAAGGGACAGAGACTAGAACTATTTATAGCGCGCGGCTTCTATCTTCTATGTTAATAGCTCAATTTGTATTCTGCAACAGGGAAAACAAAACGCGTCATTTACAATTTGTCTTGATTCCCGAGACATCCTTTAGCGTCGTTCCGATTTCGGGGACCCGAAGTATAAACAGCCGAATCGCTTAGCAGCCAAATATACCGCGGAATGGGAAACGGCTTTATTTATGGCCGAGATAATCATAAATAATTGAACACTAGGTCGTAGCGGCCGTGCCGCAAAAGTGGGCGGCATTGTCAACGCGGATTTTCGCTCGAGGCTGGCACGTCCAGATTCACCGGATAGACGTAGCAGCACTCGCGGATAAGGTAAGCGAGCATCTCTCAGAGAGCCGTCGCGAGCGACCATAATCGATCAGCTGGATGCTGAAAAGCGGTCGGAACAATTCTACGCGGAGATACACACCGGGTGTCTGGGTTTCACGTCGATGGATTCCTCGCGGAGCGACGGATAATTCGCGCAAAATCGACAGGATTGCGTCGATCGTGAGCTTTTCTAACGAACGGTGATTCGCGCACGAATCGATCTACTTAAAGCGATCACATCTATTTGCAACGGAAATTTATGTCGCGATTTAATCCCCGAGGCGCGTTCGCAGAGTTTGAAAACAGCGAGAAACAATAATTTTCCGCGAGTGTTTCCCGAATTTGCCGAAGGCGGCTGACGAAATGAACACCCCGTATACAACTCGACCTACGTTACCGGAGAAGGAGGGCCGAACTTACGCCGTCGGATAACCGGTAAAATGCAGAAACGGTATCATATTTTACGTTGCTCGGGGGACGAGTAAACAACATATCTGGGCCAGCTGAAAAATCGCGTCTTCGCGATATCTCGGAGAGTGACAGCGAGCGATGTCTCCCTCACCGGGCGTGACGTCCGCATCGGATTATTAAAAAAGAGCGATCGGGCCGACTAGAGTCGAGAGAAACAAATTCGAATGTCGATAGAGGAGAGATAAGGGGATCGAACGAAAGGAGCCATGGCTCGCGGGTGGGAAGAGTAAGCAAGCAACATTTCTCACAGGCACCACCACGGAGCCATAATCAATCCGGTGGATGTTGAAAAGAGGCGCGAGCTATCTCGCCCAGGGATCCAGGATGGTTCTCTCAGCGGGTAGTCCGCGTCCAGAAAATTGCACAAAGCCATCGTCGTAATCCGAGTTCCATAACTTTTACGCCGGGGAAAGCTTCTTCATTTCCGGAAATATCGTTCGCGCGCGGTGACATAACGAAAATGTATTCCGCGAGCTTGTCGCTCGTTCAGACCGCTAATGCGGTAAAGAGAAGCGACGCGTCTGATCGTCGGTAAGCAACGAGAAATGTAAATTGGACGCGAAATTGATGCCGGGAGAAACGAGCTGTGTTTTCGCGAGGGGTTTTATATAAGCGCGCCGCCTTCATATTGTTGTACCTTCTCGCGGAATAAATAAATAACCTCCGATCGAATCGATCCGAGTTTCGCGCGGATTAAGGAAACGGCCTCGTAAATTCACGAAAGGATTCGAAGGATGTTATATAAGGAGCGAGAGGGAGGAGAAAAACGAGAAACAAAGGAACGGGAGGAGGAAATGACGAGAGAGAGAGAGAGAGAACGCGGCTAAAGCGAGGGGAGAGCCATAATCGATCCGGCGCGCGTTGAAAGAAAGGAGGCGCGAGCTATCTCGCGCTCGTGAGCTGAAAAGAACGAGGAGAGGGAACACGGTGTGTGTTGGAGGATGGTGTTTGCGGGCTCTCTCGCTCGCAGCGGGAAGTCCGAAGTTCGTGCAGAAGGGACTGTGTCGGCGTCGTTCCCGGTTAACTAGATGCCAGCCGAGATTCCACGGTGAAGGGTTGGACGGACGGACGGACCTGGCGGAGGTAATCATAAAGCCACGATGAGAAGAGGGAGCGAGAGGGAGTGAGAGGAAGCGAGAAGTGGACGAGACGGAGGAAGAAAACGGCGGGACTTCGGCCTCGGGGCTGCCAGTGCGGCCTGGAAGCGTGTCAGTAAATTTAACCTAACCGAATGCCGGGGCGTGCAGCCCCACACCCCGCTCCTCTGCGTTGTATCGCGGCCACCTACTCTGCATCCTCTCCGAGACGCTCGAGGTGAGTATATGGCTCTTGCGGGCTGAAATGCGGTGCCGATTTTGAAAAAACCGCGCGCTCCCTTGGTGAACGACATTCTCTCTCTCTCTCTCTCTCACGGAGTCTCGAGAAATATAGAAAATATTTCCGATCGCGCGCACCTTCGACTCCTTCGAACAAATTCCGATCGGAATCTGCCATTCCTCGGCGACGAACCTCGTTCTCCGCTACCGCTTTCGCGCCATTCTATCGGGATTCTTCCGTCGGGCTACGACGAAAGGTTACGAATCCGCCGTGAAACGGCAGAATTTCATCATGACCCGTTCCTTTCCTCCCTCCTAATTAGAGGTAACGTTTCTGTAACTTTTAACGCACACTACTCTCTCATTCGTTCAAGATTGGCCAGTGCGCGCACCACGAAGCCGAGGAGATCGAAGGAGAAGAGGAAAACCAAGCAGCCCGAATTACACACCAGCAAGGAGGCTCGAAGATCCTTATCGGCCGTACCTGGATACTTCATCGACGACCTACGAAGGAGCGCTCTCTGCGCCGAGGGTCGGAGGTTGAACGTTGCTCGATCGACAGCTGCCACGAAGCCGCCTTCACCCCTCTCGCGTAGGTGAGATTCTTTCTCCGCGCGCTCGTTATTTATTTGCCCTCTTCGGAGATGTCTGCCGATAGCGAGCGGATCTACGCGAGCGGAAAGGACGGAGCCGAAATCGACGACGACGCTTCGTGTCTACACGTTACGTAGACGGGGTAAAACGCGATTCGTTACAAATTCGAGCGCGACACGCGCGGCAGACCGTAGCGTGGAAATATGTCTGTCGCGTACGTATCTCTCGCATCGTCCCGCTCTGTGTATCGTTGTTCCGTCTCAGAGAGACACGTCGAAAGAATGATGGATGGTCCAACAGACCGAGGGAATTAATGTGGGTTTATAGTCGCGCACGTTGCCGACGGCCTTTGTAGAGCTCTCGGAATTGGGCGGGACTTTGCTGTAGAGCAGAGCAACAGCGCGAAAATTTCGGGCGTTTTTGCGTGTTCCTTAAAAAAAAAGAGAGAAAGTGTTTTTTGAAAAAGAGAGAGAGGAAAAAAGGAAGCAAGAGAGCAGCCGAATTAACAGCCGAACAACGATATTAACGGCGATATGTTTCATAATCAAGCGTGCGCACGCGTCCGGAAGTGCGCCACGCTGGAGAAAAGGAAAATAATAATAATAATTGCGCTCGCCCCGACGCGGCGAATAAAGTGCTCAAACACTCCGTCGCGGAGGCTCTAAATAACGTAGTAAGCCGCGCAAAAAGCCGCGGATAATTATATGACCCGGCGAAACAGAGTCCGGAAAGCATTTACCGTTAATCCACTCGTATATCGGCCCGCTCCAACGGACCGATGCGCCCGCGAAATAAAGATCAACGATAATGGCGAGATCGCCCCGACGGAAGAAGAAAGAGCGCGAGTCAGGCGCGCGCGGCCACAAATTTCGCGCGCTTTTAATTATGTCCCGTTAACTCTATCGATTCCCGTCCTGCGGTAATTGAGCCCTCTCTCTCTCTCTCTCTCTCATATTCTTCGAATCCTTGCGAACTATAACAAACTGTAGGCGCCTCTTCCCTTTTCCTCCTCTTTCTTTATCTTCTTCTCTGTCCATTTTTTTCGATCCCTTTAAACCGCCCGAAGAAATTGGGTTTGCGGTTTGGCGTATTTGCTAAATAAACAGGACGCCCCCGCCTCTTTTGATGGTCCCGCAGGAAGACAGCACACATTCGTGATCCATTAAACGGCTAATAAGTGAATAGAGGCGGGTTACCAGCTTGAGGTCGCGCGTTCTCCTCCTCTCCGATACTCCTCGTTTCTCAACTTTTCTCNCCCCCCCTTTCTCTCTCGTTCTCCAAATTACACTTTCTCGCTCTCTCTTTCTCTTTCTCCCTTTTATTCTCTTTCCTCGCATTCCAGGCATCTCGCTTGTTATCGCGCCCGATGATTAGCGCATCGGGTGCGCAACGTATGCATTCGCGTTGTTTCTTACTGCGATGCCGCAGATTAGGAGAAAAGAAGAGCCAGAGCAGAGGACGAAGGACGGCTGCTGCTGGGAGCTACGGACCCTACCAAAGTTTGTAACTCCTTTTGCATCCAATTAAGTCCCGCGCTATAACTTAGGCTATACCGAACAGTGATGGGGCGCCCGCGCTCTGCCCCCCCCGAGGCTGCGCGGTCGCCCCCGGCTCGGGAGTACAACAATGTATACAACGACTTCAAATTACGACGCGCCGGTCGAAATTTATACCGCACGGCCGATTCCGAAATTTCGCCGCGCGACCGAAATATCCTCCCGTGAGCGCGTGGGCGACGAGGGTGACCGAATAGCGGTAAAAAAGTTCCTTGACGTTCTTCCGCGAAGGCCCCGATGACTCTCCGTTGGCACGATATTATGTACAAACTAGTAGTCGTTCAACTCCGCCGCCTCGCTTTACATCCAATTAAGCGGCGCGCAATAAAGTTAGAACAGGTATATGCGAAACGCCAATAGCAGAGGGACCGGCCGGTGCGCGTCCACCATGGACGCCGGATAATTCGCATTTCGATTTCGGAGTTCGATACACAAGTTGCCGATGAAGTTCGCAGGACGGTTATTGACACCGGCACGCCGGCCGTTTTCTACCTCTCTCTCTCTCTCTCACCCCCGATATAACTGCCGGGATAGTTTAGCGCCCCGGTATATACGCTACTCCGCCGTAAATTAACTCAGCCAAACCGAAATTGGCTCTTAAAATGGAGCGGTGACATTAATGCATATCAAGTATTTATTCATAGCCGTCTGCTTACTGCGGATCTGATCGAAACATTATTCATTGCGCTACGATCATTGTTATTATTATACTCCTTCGCAAGCATTATCAGCGTTGTAAAAAGAGCAATTGCAAAGGAGAGTTAATTTTATAAGAATCAGTGACGATATTCGATTCGGTCACTTTACCGATACAAAAGCGAAGTTCTCTCCAAATTCGTCTTGACAAGACTCAGAATCCTGTAAAAAAAAAAAAAAATCTCTGGAAATTTGAGATTACCAAGCGCACTCGATATCTTCTTTCTCCTGTGTCCGAAGTACTATAAAAGAAAGAAAAAAATAATAAAACGATCCTCCACTGTACGGTGTTGGAACGGCGCGTCAGATATACACAAGGACGCGAAATATCGCACCTACGCTGCAAGGTAGGTACGCTCTGATTGCGAAGTAAAGATAGTAGGTCAGTTATCGGCACCTCTGGCCCCGCTATTATCACAAAGCACCGACATAGTTTCGGAGATCTCGCAGTCAAGTCTCGTGCAATAATTTAGGGTATGCCGGATACCGATACTAGCGCGAGAGACTAACTCCTCCTGCCCGAGAACAATATGCGCTAACTCCTTCGAATCTTAGCCTTAATGCCGGGCTTAATATGCGCCGGCTTATACAGATCTCGTTGATCGAGTTCGCCTCCCCCCGCCGTTGCCGCTGCACACCCCCTCTCGTTCATCCCGCATACACCGTAATCCCACAAATTCACGAGAGGTTTAATTAAACGATCCTTAATGCATATAGTAAGGCGCGCAGAGAGCAAAACCGATTTAAACGACGGCGAAAAATACTCGGAGAGCGAGATTTTTCAAAGTTTCATCGGCTAAGCCAGATAATCGCCGGCGCTCTTTCGAACTAATTTCTTTTACCGTCCACCGCGGCTTATTAATTATTATATCTCGGCTCTCAAAGAGAGCAAGCGACTGACTGAATAAGTGGAAAAGGACGGTGGCAGGAATGAGTTATTAGGTGCTTGCAAAAGTTCGTATAATATTAAAACTACTTTTATTTATTAACAACAATGAGATACCGTATAATATTTTAATCCAAGTATCGTCCGTTGTTGTCAATACACTGAGGCAAATATTCGATCATACCTGATCCAATAATCCAATTAAAAAATAACAAGTAAATATATCCGATCAAGTACAATGTCTGATCATTTCATCCGATTGTGTCTTTATCCGTTGAGAATTACAACGAATATATAAAGGGCAACTCATTTTCTAATTAGGTTTCATCGGTAAATGCATCGGTAATTTCACCGGATACTTCATCAGATAAAAGTATCCATCACTTGATCGGACAATAAAAATAACAATTGGATACATTTAATCGGTTTATCCGGCGGAAATGTTTCTCATCTTTCGAGTGATATGTTTGATTGCGTGCCGATAAAATTATTCATCCTTTGAGATAATCCATTCGTTAACCCATTTTCGCATTTCTCCAGCATTTGGGAATCGTGTATCTGATAAACAATGCTGCATCGATCTGAATAGATGAAAATCAAGTGGAGCGATGTCTGGAAAGTACTTCGAATGCGACAGGACATCTCAATTTAACTCGAACAACACCTCTTTGGTCATAACAGCAATAAGTGGCCTGGCGTTGTCGTGAAGCAGAATGACTTTGCGTCGACTTGCGGTTATTTGAGAACGTTTTCCCTTCAAAGCTTGATTCCAACGCCTTTATTATTGACTACAGTGATCTCCTATGACTGTCCGTCCCGATGGTAATAGCTCATAATAAATCACTTCTTGGTCTCACCACAAATACACAAGAGAACCTTGTGGCAGTGGATGTTGCATTTTGTTGTGCATGTCGATAGTTGGCTGGGGTCAATTCAAGACTTTTTGTATTTAGGATTGTCAAAATAGATTCACTTTTCATCGCCCGTAAATCCGCCACAAAAATACTCATGCCTGGCAAGCAATGGGAGACAGACAGTAAGCCGGTTCACGATTGCAGAGAGATCATGGGGAGAAGCCACTCTCCTTCCTTCTAAATTTTCCCCATTTTGCTTGCAAATAACGGGATACTGTTGATTCATCAACTCTAAGTTGCCTTGCAAGCTCTTTGGGCCAAGTTTTCGTTGAGCAACACTTCCACTTCGTTACTGAAATCGCAATTATTATTTCTAAATTTTTTCAACCATTTCTCATAGCGACGGACACAATATTCTCTCCATAGGTTTCACAAATCAATCTTTTGGTTATTGCAGCAGGTTTCATCTCGATTAAAGTGATAAAGCATGTAGTAACCAAAATGATTTGGTTCCATCTTCAATCGCGTTAAATGTGACGTTTTGTTATAACTACTATAATTTGTCAAGCATCAATTCTGATCCAGTATGACCAATATTTAAAAAACAACTTAAAGGGAAAACAATTATTACGTCAGCTATCTATTTGTGACCTTAGGAACTTTTGCAAACACCTAATATGTAAAGCGGAGAAAGAAATGAAAGATGACGCGAGTCGAAACGTTATTAGCGTCGATGAGAGCGGCCAACGGCTTAGCCCGATTCTTTTTTTCGCCGTCAATAAAGCTCGACAATGAGAAGCAACGAACCGGGGGCAGGACTCGTGCAGCAGCCGTGGCTACTGACCGCGGAATTGACCTCACTTTAGAGAGGAATGCGTGCTCGCTGCTCTCGGCACTTCGCGTTACGTACGTATTAACCGCGACGGCCATCCACGAAACTCGTTTAAATTGGGACAGATTGGCGTGACGTGCCGCGCGGAAAGAAAATAAATATCGCGCCCGCAACTGAGCACACGCGTCGCTCAGCCTCCGCCGCCGCCGCCGACGCTTTTATTGGCTCGTCCGCGAATCGTGTCAGTCGTCAAATAAATCACGCGCTGGTAGACGCGATCGGTAAACCCGGACGAATACGAGTTTCGCTTGTCCGCTGATGTTTGACATTGTCGAGACGCATCCTCCTGGGAAAAACCTCTCGCGTTACATCTGCCGCCCCTCCGAAAAATCGCGTCGCGTCGCTCTTTAGACATCCGGGTCAATGGTAAACGAAGCGAAAAATAGAATATTATAGTAAATTTGAAATTAGCATTTTTATTAATCCGTCGGTGTGCAAACGCGCGCTTTTGTGCTCGATTCATTCAGCGTAAATTCTATCCCGGATAGCAAAATGTGCGGAAAAAATTGATTGCAAAGCGAGAGTTAATTACTTTTTATTACTTGGTCTTTATCTGACCAGTGACCGTTTAATGGTAAATGTCGAGGTAAAACTGGCTAGTTGTTGGCAACAATATTATCGAGCAGCGACGCGGGAATGAGAACGTTAGTTATTACGGAGAGAACTGTCCAATTGACGTTAGAAAAATTTATTACGAGGCGAAAACTGATTAGTTTTTAGTATTTCAAGCTTTGCCGAAGCAACAATTAACGTCGAGATAAGACTGGTTAGTTATTAGCAACAATGTTACCGAGCGGAGCGGCGCGCAGAATGCGAGTGTAAGTCATTACGGGCAGAACGATCTAATTGACATTAAAATTAATGCAGTCAGGGGCAATTTATTTACCACTTACTCCGAAGCTCCTGCTGACACCGGGCGAGTTACAATTCGTTATTGGAGGCAGATACGATAATGATTAATGCGAAAACCGGTTTCAGGAAGCCGCGCGTTAGGAAAAAGTGGCCGAATATGGCCACTTTGTGCCACTCGAACGCGATTCGAATTACGCTTGGCCGCGGGTGCTTCTGGGATTGCTTCCAGCCATCCCGTGCAACACAGTGATTTCGTCGGATACGTTAATTACTTCCTGGTGCCGAGCGCTACAGCGACCGGCCGATATGTATCGATCGATCGGCCGACCAGCCACGATCGACCGGCGGCCGAAGAAATCTTGACGGATGACTCGTTCGCGTAGCGATCACAAACGAGATCGAACGATTTGCATACGGTCTGTAACGCGCGGACCGAAACCTCGGGAAAGCGTGTCCGCAAATGAATCAGTTTGCGCAACAACGGCACGTTAATTATCCGACGGGATAACGAGCCGGTCTCTCTCTCTCTCTCTCTCTCTCCCTCGTTTAGTCGGACGTAAACCGTGCTATTTACGCTTGTAAATACGAACGACGGGGGGAAAACTCTTGCTAAGTTGCAAACGTGCAAACGAGTTGCGCCGTTTGAATCGTTTCTCTTTTTTTTCCAGGTGTCTATTCGAACAGAAATATCGAGGACGACGCATCGATCGGATGTCGTCCCGCCCATGTAGAAAAGTTTCTTTAATATGTCACGATGACTGATACTCATTAAGTTACATATAAATTTAGGATGGTTCACTCTTGATCAGCTAATTACGGGATATCGATCATAAAAATTCGGCACACAAAAAAAACAATAAAATAAACAATAAAATAAATAAATTAGATAAACGTAAGTAAGTAAAATGTTTACTCATTATTATGTCAAGATCAAATAATCAACTGAACATAGTTTCCTATTGTATTTTCATATAAATAATCATTGTGTCTAAAATTAGACAGATATAAATAAAATTTAAATTTAAATAAAATTAAAAGAACAATCAACGGAACATGAAATATGTAATTATATGTTTAGAAAACTAAATGATTTCAATAAAAGAAAGTAAGATTCGTTTGATTAAATAGAAACTAAAATAATCCAGAAAGCGTCCGACGTCTTTAGGTGCCCGTACATGGCAACTTTCATCTGAACGCCTATTGGCGACGCTCGCAGTTTAGAGTGAATTTTAGTGCAACTATTATTATATTTTGTATTATTTATTTTTCGTTAAGTGAAAAATCGGGACAAATGACGTCCCGGGGATTAGGATTTTGTTGGAACGCCTCTAATAAGCCGAAAATCAAGATATCCCACGAAAATCAGAACGGTTAGTCATCCTACATATATAAATTAGAATTAATTACGTTTGGGAAATCGGTTGCACGATTGTCAATAAAACCAATGAAACGAGACAAAAGAAACACACGAACTGCATTGATTTGCCGCATCTTTGGATCTAAATCAATCGTCAGTTAAGCCTGCTAATTAGGTAATGGATATTGTAAGCATCGTTACTTGTGCCGACTGCCTAATAATAAGTTTTCGCAATATTTTCGGCCAATCGTTAGATCGAAATTGCTGTGTCCGGCAAAGTCGAAAAAATAAAAACCGACCGGTTTCCGCTCTGTTTATTTCGGACATTTTACGAGACGCAGCGCACCGGTAAATCCGCGAACAGCCATCCCGGCCTGGGAATGCAACGATCTCGTGATCAAGAGGAGAAGCGCGTTTTTCGGCGATGCCATTAACATAGCTCGACGTCGCCTATTATCGAGATTCCTGGCGGTCGCGCAGGAGCGACTAACGCCTACTTAGTTTCGGTCGGCTGTATTCCCGGCGCGATAATTTAATAACAACACACTCGGCCTCCCCGCCGCCACCAGCGCGCTGATGCGTCACGGAGAAGCGGACAGTTTCCGCGTTAATTACAAAAGCCATTCTACGAAAGGGCTTTTAACGCGCTCGCGATGCGCGCTGTCGGAGATAGAAACGTCAGATGGAGAACGTCGACCAATCCATCAAGGAACGCTCGCCTCTTCCACACGATACGTGTATATGCGTATGTATGTATATATCCGACTACGATTAGTCGCGCCATAGAGATTTATCAAGGAGACCCCATCGTATCCTGAGCTTTCTAATTGAAGAGCGTGTTAGGAGAGCTACATCGGTACCTGATATGCATAACGAGGCCATTCGGTTAAATACGGACAAAACAGCCGGGCGCTCGCTTCCGCTCCGCGAACCGCCCGGCAAGAAAGCACCCGCTGTTTTGCATCGAAATTATCCGCGAGCCCGCTCGCTGCTCACTGCCTCCCTCCTACCCACCTGAGGAAATGTTGCAAAATAGTTTTGCTTTTTAGGTCGAGGTGAACGACGCTCGCTCTCTCGCCGCCCCCTTCATCCCCTCCCTCTCTATCCCATGCTCTGACAATTTCGCGTATTACTGGAGCCATTCGTAACGCCGCTGCGAATAACCAACATTAAGATAATGAACGGTATGCGTGTATGGGTGCGCTAATAATCACGCCGCGATGACGATTAATGTGTAACACCGCGGCTGCGTGGACGAAAGGATGAGCCGTATAACGGACGGTCTCGCTTGATTAACGGCGCGATAAAATAACGGATGAAAGGTATATGGAACGAGAGGATATAAAATTTCGTTTTGATAGCTCATAAAATGGAAAGTTATAAAATAACGGATAAAATAACGAATTGAATAGCGGAGCGAGGGTAATAATTAACGGGCAAAATGTAGATCCATCCGCGCCGACGAGATAAGATCCGAACCGTTCGCGCCGATGTTCCTATCTTTTTTCTCTTTTTTCTCCTTTTTAGCACGCGCGTTATCTTCCGCGAGCATCGAAATCAACATATTTTTCTCCCGCGCGTTGATTGTTTTTCACGGTATCAAGGAGGGAGAGAGATATTTATCTGTTATGCGCTCTCCCTGGGAAGATTTCCCCTCGAAGCGCAATAATAATAATGATACAAAAAGCCATTAACACGCTCACTGCCACTATTTTTCTATGTAGTCATCAAAATAACCAACATGAAGAAATGTTATAACTATGTAAAGTTGTTTTTTTTAACAGTTACCAAATGACGACATGAAACAAAGCCATGTACGCAACATTGGCGCGTATCCAGGAACATTAACTCGGCTGAAAAAACCCGTGCGTTCCTGAACGTCAGCACAGAACATGTTAAACGAAGGCAGTAGAGACAAAAAACTGTACAAAATCAGATTAGAATTAATAGGGTAAGATTTGATTAACCCTCTAATGATAAGGTTCTGTCGACCCCATGCTCTGTTTTGTTCATTTCTCATCTAATTTATGTACAAAATGGGTAAAATAAGTAAATAGCAACGTGAAATTTCTTCTTCTATTTATTTATAGATGAAAAAAGTCTGTTAATTTATAAGTGAAATAGCTAATTTTAAATAATTGCAGTAAAAAAACGCTTTGACATTCTGAAAATCCACCTTGTCATTAGAGGGTCAATGTATATTGTGTAAGGAAGATATGATACTAAGATAAAATAAAGAACGTAAGATATGCAAAATATGTAAGATATGTAAATACAAAGAAAGGTGTATTCCAAAGCCGAAAACGGATTAAGAAACAAATAAATAAGTAAATACAGAACCAGCGAATAAAAATATAAAATAAAAATAAGGAAAAAAGAAAAGAAAAAATTGAGAGAGACGACCACCTGGCCACCTGCTAATTCCTAACCGGTCGTGACGCATTCCGTCCGGCGTTTCTCATAAAATTCCCGTCGCGTCGTGCAAGTTACCGCGGCGAAACAACGGAGACACAAATTCCGACGTGACGGCGTGGACGCACCCGTCGCACGTACACGGTCCTGCTTTCCTCGCGCTAGGTGTCGATGAATCACGCGAACCATAAATACCTCCGCCCTACCTCCGGAACGGATAAACTCGCGACAATGAGGCCGGCTGATCCTCCGGCACTCACTTTTCGCTTGGACTTTTTGAAACGTAAACAAGGAGATAAAGACCGAGCTCGGCTGCGTAAACAAGGGGGTCGACACGCCGAGATTCGTGGGCAGTATCGGCTTTGGGGAGATGATCGACAGCCGCTCTCTTGAGACGCCAAAAATCGCTATTCTCTCTCTCTCTCTCTCTTTCGTACCAGTTCAACGTTTCTACACGGAGGAGAGCATTTCGCGAAGAAACTTATCCGCGTTCTTCTTCCCCTCAACATTCGAAACGCGGATTTCGCGACCCATAGGCGCAAATTCCTCCCGGCGATCGCGGGGGCCACCCCGAACGGCAATGCATTTTGATAGCCCATTGTTAAAGTAGCGCGACGCGGCGTCGGCGACGGCGGAGGCGACGAGGCGCACGGGAGGAGACCGTCGAAAACTTTCGAGAGGGCGTTTCGAAATGGAGACATAACACCGGAGTTTGCCTTATTCATGAGTTGCCATGGGACGCCGGCTGGTATAACTGATGGAAGACGGGGTTGTAAGGCTATGATGGCCGTGTACCGAAGTTGTATCAACGAACGGCCTCGGTCCTCGCCGCGTAACGATGATAATACGCTACGTGCCTCGTGTCTGAAACGACAACTACCCGAACTGAATACACAGCCTCCCGTAATCATACATCCTCTCTTGCCTCTTCACCCTCTCCTCGATCCCTCATCGTCGCTCGCCTCTCGCCCTTCCCCTTGGCTCCTCTCTCTTTCTCTCTAGGTCTCCCACGCCGTCATCGTACGAATCTTCTTCGTGACGCGACCTTTTACGAGGCCACAATGTCGTGTCGTCTCCTCTCGCTCCTCTTCCCCCTTGCTCCGAGCGAACGAGCGACACTGCCGGTGTCCTCGCCTGATCCTTAACGATGTATCGAGTGGTTGAAAGCCCTCGTGCAAATGTATCGACTACGACGGGGCGTTTACAACTATCCGTCTGCAGAACACAACGATGTTTCGGATATTTTTCTCTTTCTCTCTCTCTCTCTCTCTCTCTCTCTCTGCAAATATCGCGTGCAATTGCATTTGGCTTTAAGTATCGGGTCGATCGAGAGATTCGGCTCGATATTTGAGCTCGAACTTCACTTTATCGTATTCGATGGGAATGAGTTATTCTTCAAACAGATAATCGCCGTCGCAATTACTTCGTTTGTGATTGTTGTTGTTGATTGTTTATAATGCTTCGTTCCGGCGACAAAACATGATCGTTGTCTGTATTACATGTGTGTGTGTGTAATGCTATTTACTGGAAATCTAGCCGAACTTTTTGACTGACACGATACAAATTGTATTCTTCCGAAATATTCGCTCTAACGAAATCCCGAAAAGCGCGCAAGGGTGGTGCGAATGAATTAATCCTACGAATATTTTACATCCCGCACGAAATCAATGAGATTTCTTCTTCGCCGAAAGACAGAGAAACTCTCTTAAGTTGAATCTCTGTGAAAATGTCACTAATTGAATCATTAAAACAATATTCTACCAATAATCAGTCAATATTCATTAATGTTTAATGGAAAATCTATTACTTAACTTTTTTGTCTAATATTTCATTGATTTTGGTCAGTGAAAGATTCACTGTAAATCGCTGTTGCACGTCCCGTGGCAGAAATATATCGTATATGCATTCAACCATGTGTGCATTTGGTATGGTAGCAGATTCAAGAGCTAAAAGTTTCCATCAGGATAAGCGTGTTTTTTCAAATATAAATAAAATATATTGTAAAGAATTAGAAATTAAATCAATTAAATATATTTAAGAATATTTCAGGCAAAATCCATTGACAATATTTTAAGAGT